CTCTTTCATCTGTAAAGAAGGAAGTCTCTCCTATAAGTACCTCCAGATACTCTTTCCAAATTGTTAACAGGTCTCAGTGATTGCCAGCATTAGCTCAAGCTTTTTTAAAAAAATTAATTTGATATCTTAATAAAGTAACTTTCATCTTTCCTAAAAGATCTAAAGTAGGACTTCTATGATATTCGTAATTTTAGTGATTTAATCTAATTTGTTTTGTATACCTTTCATTAATTAAGTGGTAAAACTGTGAAACTTTTCATCCAAAACAGTATGAAATTCATTAACGTGCTATTCCAAGAAAACAAAGCAGAGCTTACAAACACAGAAATTAGGAAAAATTACTTATACAACAAAGAATTACTCACTATACAAACAGATTTTTGTTTATTTGTATCTTTTTCTAAAAGTCTAGCATTCTCTGTGCATTCAAAAATAATTCTTTTGGGACCAGCAGTTGGTGTTATGGCTATGTCGCTGGACTCCCATGTAATGAACTGTGGTTCAAACTCACGCAGGGTGCGTGTGCATGTGTCCCCAAAATCCCAAGAGGAAAATGGAGAAGAAGTGATTGCAGCATGACCATCCCCCTGGGGGATGATTTTCCGCTTTCTGTCTCTCCATCTCTCTTTCTGGCAAGCGCGCACACCCTATAGCAATGTCTGATATATTAAAAACAGCTATAATTCATGGTTATAAAAGCTTCTTATTCTCTGCCACAGTCTTAATTTTTCACCTTCAAAATCCCATACTTTTAAAACTTCTTTATTTTTAGGTTTTTGCCATAGGGCATGTGTCCTCACCAGAGAGAGACAGACAGAGGGAGAGTGAGAAATCACTTCCCAGGGAGGATGACCAAGGTGCAATCCCTTCTCCTCCATCATTTCCCTCTCGGGATTTTGGCCATGCATGCACATGGACTTGGCATGATTTTCAAGCCACTAGGTCCAGAATTCATACTATAGTCTGCCATATTGGAGTCCAGCACCGTAATCACCATACAACCCGGGGCCAGCAGATGATGTGGTTAGGGCGCTGGACTGCCACATGGCAACTGCTGTTTGAGTCCCAGGCCAGGTGCCTTGCTTTCTCACTTTCTCTTTCTCTCTGGGCAAATTTTAAAATAATAAATAAATAATTATTAAAAACAGAAACAAACAATCAAAAAAACACTATGCCATCAGCTGGCCCTAAAACATGTGTTTATTTTTCACGTTTAATTTGTTAGACTTTTTAAAAAATTATTTTATTTAAATTTATTTATTTATTCATGCATTTATTTAAATCTGGCCAGAGAGGGATAGAGTGAAGAACGGGAAAGAGAGTGAGTGAGAAAAAAAAAGAGAGAAAGAGAGAGAGAGAGAAAGCTGCCAGGCCCAGGACTTGAACTGCAGTGGACCATGTAGTAGTGCAGCATCTTAACTACCAAGCCACCTGCAGGCCCCAGTTTACTAGTCTTAAACACTTGTAAATTTTTATGAAATTTGCTCTTTTATAAAGTAAACATACTAGTCATATTGACAAAAGCTGGTGAAAAGTTATATAATAGTATTGGGAATACATAAATACATAAATGACAATGTAAATTACCAAATTTGTGTTAATAGCAATAGAAATATTGAAGATAATGGTATATAAGAGTAAGTGGAATAATGTTAATTCTAATGATTATGGCTTTACAATCTGTTGAAAATTATGTTAGGCCACTAGAACAGTTTGAAGAAAATATGACCAATAGTGATGACCAGTATGATCCTAAAACACAAGCAGGTATGAAAGTTATCAGGTAGAAGTCTAAACAAAAGAATGAGAAATGTTTAATCAAAAGACATAAAAGGGGGCGGGGAGGTTAGACAGTAGCACAGCAGTGATGCAATGCTTTCTGAGGCTGGCCAACATCTCAACACAAACCCAGAGACTTCCCTGAACATACTAGGTACACACATGTCCAGGAGTCACACCTGGCTGAGGCTGGGGGTGAATTGTAGCATGAAGGCCCTGTTGTGGTTGTCTGTCTCTCTGTCTCTTGCTCAGGGAAGAAAGAAAAACATTAAAAAAAAACTGATATAAAAGAGTTGTAGAGCTAGTTGTCGAAATACCATGGAGAATGTCAAGACTCTAGTGGATAGAACACTCTCGATAGAGTGCTTGTAAGACTGAAATCAAAGGGCAGCAGCCATACATACAGACTTAGCTGTATTCCTGATGTGCTAGAATGAAGGAGTCAAGTTTATGCACTTCAGAATAAGGCAGAGGATTGGAAATCCTAGCTTCACCATTTATAAGCTGAATGTCCTTGGTTGAGTTAATTAATTTGAGCAAGTTTTCTTAACATGAAACAAAGATTAAAAATAGCACTTGTCCCATAGAGATTTTGTGAAAATTAAACCAGGTAGGTGATGATTACCTGGCATAGTGAGTTTCTATAGTGTTATTAGTTATTATTAATCATCACACTTGATAGTAAAATTTGACTCCCTTACTTGACTGCAAGAGAAAAAGTGATCTCTTATTTCTGCCACAGAGCTAATAACTGTTGCCTGTGTAAGGAGCGTTGCCTATTTAAGTCAGTGATGATATTTCTCTATTTTGTGATAGAACAGCTTGCCATTGTTTTCATAATTTTACATTACAAATTCATGTACATTGATCTAATTCTTAAATAGTTTTCTATCATTAGGCATTTTTAAAATAATTCGCATCCCTAACTGGTATTTTATCTGGCATTCTGCTGTTTATGATTAAACTAGCTGTCTTAGAATTAATATTGTTTCTTGAGTATATTTTCTGTACTCATCTATTTCACTTATTTTAAAATTTACATTGAAATGGCTAATAATTAGTATTTTCTTCATCTAAGGCTTTATATTTTGCACAGAGATAAATCATTTTTGCTTGTGTTTTTATTTGGACCCTAAAAATTCATACATAGGTACAATTAATAAATTCTTCTGCTGATACATGTAGATTGACACTTAATTTGCTCTCTTGAAACCATTACATGAGAGATGCAGGACTTTCTGACAGTGCATCCTGTCTATCTACTCAGGCAGAACATCTGTATTTAAATGCAGTGAGTAATAGGAAGAGCTAGAAGACCTTAAATTCACCTTTGTGCATATTTATGTTCTTCTATACTTTATCATTTTTTTTTAAGAGGCTTTGGCCATTGCCTAAATATCTGAATCAGGACATTTAAAAGTAGTTTCTGAAACACACAGAATTAAATACTTTAAGGTAATATAATCCATTCATTTCTTTATTTGACAAACACGCATTCATTACCTATTAGGTATTCCCACCAGTGATGAGTGAGACAAAAACTAGTATGAAAACTTGTACCAACTTTCATGAAAGTTATTCTCCATTATACATTTTTGTAAAAATCGTAAGTAAGCACTCTATCTTCAGAAGATAAAAGAAAATTGTAAATGTTACTTAAGTAAACAGATATCTACAGAAGGCTTGATGAGAAAGGACAGAACTATATTAAAACTAAGTCTGGGGACCAGCAGATGGCATAATGGCTATGTCGCTGGACTACCCTGAGGTCGACTGTGTTTCAAGTCCAGGTGGCTTAAAGACTCACGCCCAGCGCGTGTGCGTGCGTGCACAAGATCCTGAGAGGAGAATTGAGGAGAAGGGATTGCAGTGTGGCCCTCCCCCCTGGGGATGAGGGGGTGGGGGGTGATTTCTCGCTTTCTGTCTCTGTCTCTCTGTCTCGTGCACGCACCCTATAGCAAAAACCTCTCCAAAAAAACCCCAAATAAACTAAAAATGAAAAAAGACTGAGTCTACAGTTCTTCCATAGGATCAGTGATTGCACTGTATTTTAATAGTTTGTTTACTTGTTTGTTTCAATTACTAGACAGTACACTTGCATGGGGGCAATGATCAAGTCTCACCCTGTGTCTGGCACTTTTAAGAGTTCAATCCAATTTGCTTAATGAATGAGTGGAACTGAAACGGAATTTCACGCATGCAGCAACACAAGGCAAATTTGCTACATTTCCCTTACTTGACTCTTGATTATCTCTGTGAGAGATGAAGTATAATTGAATTTTACATTTCTCTGTAGGAATAGTAACTACAGTAAATAATTAATTTAGTCTTCATTAACTTGGCATCCAATCTAATTCAGTCTTGGTTTACCTGAAATTCACCTCTACAAGATTAATGAAAAATGATATATTAAATAAATTACAACAAACTTAAAATCACTGACTTTCTTTAATGGGAAGAAAGGTAAGAGAAAAGATGCTTATCATTTTAAAGAAATTTACCAAAACTGATCAGTTGCAAATGGAAGTCTTAATAAAATGCATCCATTGATAGTAAAATAAGCCAAACAGACCTCTATCTGAAAATACTTGATATTTTATCCTATACGTTTGTGTGGAAACTTCTACCCAATAGCAACCAAGCCCTGTCTGTGGAGACTACAGGGCATCTATGTTCAGGATGCTTGGACTTCAGTGAGGATTCTAATACATAAAAGGATTTTTAAGAACTATGTAAGGCAAAACAAAAATAAGCCTACAGATTAAAACACACTGTGAAAAGTAGTACACATAGTCTATAATAATCCCAACTTCTTTCAAGAAATAATTTCACTTTTGAAAAAAGCAAAATGCTCCACAAAATGCTTAGACCCCTTCTCACCATTCTCGGCTCTCTGCCCGCTCCCTCAGAAGCAGCGCCGACGCCCCAGGGCTTCTCAAAGCGGTTCTCCACGCCGGTCAACGCGAGGGGGCGCCCTCCTCAGACAGGACCGGCCTCTGCCGTCGACGCGAGTCGCGAGCGGGAGTGAGGAGCTGCCGGACCCCGCGCCCAGTCCCGCGGAGCGCGTGCGGGCGGCCTCACCGAAAGGGCCCGCGCCTTCTTCCCACGGGTCGGGGGGAGCGCTCCTCTCTGAAGAGCAGCCAACCAGGGCCGACCTGGGCGCGGCGGCCGCAGGGGCTTCTGGGGCTTGTGGTCTCTGGGCGTCCTCCGTCCCCGGGGCCCGAGGGGAGAAGGTGGTGGGCGCTGACCGTCAGCCTCAGCACGTCGATCCTGGCTGGGGAATGGCGCAGGCTGCCAGCTCCATGGTCCTCGCCTGCCCGAGGGCGCCGTCGCCCTGCGGGAGGCCGGAAGGTAGGTGGGGCAGGTCCCTGCACAGCCTGCCGGAGCCTCGGCTGCCCCCCTCCCAGGCCTCGCCCTGCCCCTGGGGCCCACGCGGGCCTCTCACGCCCGCTTGTACCCGGGCCAGGCCGGTCCAGCTGCGCCAGGAGCGCTGCACAAGGCAGGGGGGTTAGAGGTTAGAGTTAGCCGGTTACCCAGACAGCGTCCGCTGAAAGTACTGAAACGGCGGCTGTGTGTGGATTCCTCAGATATTCCACGCCTCTGATCATATTCAAACCTGGCTCGACCCCCAAAATGGTTCCCAAGGCTTCTTGGAGAAGGGGACAGCAGCGTTTGTCTGTCGGTGGGTTTGACAAAGCCATTCATTGAGCAGAACTTTTCCTGAGCACTCACTGTAATGGAGGAACTGTTGAAATGCTGTAGGTGTCAGCGGTGGGACTGGCCCGCTGACATGATCCCCTCTCAGGGAGCTGATGAAAGAGATAGACACAGAAGAAATGGGTTAAAGAAATTGCATACAAAGGATCAGATGTGACCATGTGGGACTTGGGGGCTCCACAGAGAAGCTTCATGGAAGAGACAGAACTTAAAGGAGAGTTAAGTACCTGATGGATGTGGGATAGGGAAAGGAGTGGGGCATATGTTACAGACCAAGGGGTTAGTAAGAATGTAGGCTAGAAGCCAAGTAAACCTAGGAGGGACTTCAAAAACTATGTGGATAACTCAAAATACAAGTTCATTTTGGTGTCAAAGATTTTTTTTGAAGGGAACCAGCAGTTAGCGTAATGGCTATGTCGCTGGACTCCCACGTAGTCGACCACGGTTCATGTCCCAGACCCGATGGCTTAAAACTCAGCCGGGCACATGTGCGTGCGTGCCCAAGATCCAGAGAGGAGAATGGAGGAGAAGGGATTGCGGCATGACCATCCACTCTGGGGGGTGATTTCTCGCTTTCTGTCTCTATGTCTCTCTCTGTCTGGCCAGCACTCGCACCCTATAGCGAAAACCTCTCCAAAAAAAAAAAAAAAAAAGATTTTTTTGAAGTCCAGGCATACTTTTTCATTAATATACATTTCCTGTGAACTATTCGAAGCCTTCTTTGGCCAAACAAGGCTTTAGTGTATGTACCTGAAGTGGCAGGGACGAAGCTTGGAGGAGTTGTTGGGCTGAAAGGCTTTGAATAACTTCATAGTCTGAAATTGCAGAGACAACTTTAGGACTTGAATTTGATCAGGAACGAAAGGTAATAATGAAATGTATAGTTGTTTACTAGTCATAAAATGCACATAATGTAGAAAACCACATAATAACATGGATTCTGTATGTCAGCAGTATGCATTTTTCAATAACAGTATTTGTGTCAAGTTAATTATGCATACGTTAATAAATTTTGGACTTGTTTATATTCTTTTCTCTCTTTAAAATTGTGAAATTTACAGTGTATTGTGCGACTACAAGTGTCACTTGGCGACAACTCACAGATTTGTGAGTTGTTATGCACAATTCTAGTTATGATTGAGAAAATTTTCTGTTTCAGATGGCTTTTAATGCAATTTCAAATGCAGTAAAAAATGTTTACTCTGGAACCTGTATTAATATAATCAGGGCAGAGCTATGGAGCACAAATGACATAATTCAGATGTAAAATTTGAAAATGATGATCAGGTTAGAGACTGATGATTCTAATATTTTTTAAAATTCTTTTTTTCATGAATAATGGTTTGAAATCAACTTTTCATAAACAAAATTTTATAGGTTCTGATTAAACTAGAAAATGTTACCTTATAACATGTTTTAGTATATTTAAGGGTATTAGAAGTTCAGTGGATATTGTGGTAAAGAATGAAGAGCATATTTTAAGTCTTCCAGAGGGCATTTATATAGGTCATGTATATGTAAGTGTCATAAATGTGTATGTAATGAACATATTAAACTTTTATGTACCAAGATGCTTGAAGCTGAAGGTCAGAGTTACAATTTAACAGAATCAGTTAAGTTAGGCTGGGCCACTTTGAAGAGTTATTGAAGTAAACACACATAACCGCATTGCACAGAATGGATTGGAGGAGTTGAGAGATCATTTGGAAGGCTGATGCTGTCATAAAGATGAGATGCTAAAGATTTGAGGAAAAATGTAGACACCTTTTAAATATATTATAGGAGCATAATCAGGGGAGTAGGGCTACTGAGGTCAGAGAGTACAGTGTTTTAGGAATAAAGGAATAATCCTGATGATCAGATGCTGCAGAGAAGTAGAATGGGGGTTTGAGAGGCCATAAGGTTTGGCGATTATGATGTCATTTTTAACCTTGGTAAGACCCACCAGGTCAGGCTGGGGTGATTGGAGTTTATTTTATTATTTTTTTCTTTCTCTTATGTCTCTTTTTAAAAGCTGGGAACAATCTAAGTATAATTATATATAGAGAAAGAAGTCAGCATAAGGGAAGAGATTGAAAAAACAGGAGGTGGTTGGAGAAACTACAAGGATTTGGTATGCAATTAATACATATTCTTGGAACATTGTCCATGGTATTCAAGGACAGGAAGATACAGGCCATTATTTTTGAAGAGCATATAACATATTAACCAAGTTTTCTGATGTGCCAGTGGAGTACCTAGGTTCTGGCTTGCTTCTCCATCATTCACTCATTAGGTCAGTCAGCTAATACTTTTTCAGAGCTCATTATGTATTAGCCATAGGAATTTCTGCTCTAAACAGACAGGAAATGGGCTCAGTGGAGCTCACTTACCATTGAGGAACATAGAATCAGCCACCTAATGAATAAGAAATTGTCTAGCTGGTAATAGAAATGGAATTTTCCTATCTATGATAGGAAAGAAGAGAATGGAATCTTTTTTTCCCCCCCTTCTAATTGCTAGAGAGTACTTACACTTGCCACAGACAGACACACAGAGAAAGCATTCCCTGAGAGGGCATGGTACAATCCACTATCCATTTTTTCATTCTTTCAGGATTTTCGGCATGCACACACAAGCACCCGGAATATTTTTCAAGCTGCTGAGACTGAGATTTGAACTACAGTCAGCCATGTGGGATCTGGCTTTCTTAACCACTAGGCTACAGGGCCAGCTCAGAACATGAAATCTTAAAAGCACCAGTATCATAAGAAACTGACATGGCTTGAGAGTATCAGAAAAGGCATTTTGAAGAATAGAATGTTTAAGCTGGCTCCTAAAAGAGATTTTCCTGTTACCAAGTCAGTCATCCCTCTCCTGTACTGCTGTCTCCTACCCTGTTCTCATCTAGTCCCTGGTTCTCTTTTTTACTGGTCGGCTTAGTCTCCTCTCTTGTGAGCATGTGAAATGCATTTGACATTGGATTGGTGGGCTGGGAAAAGTTTCAGGAATCAGGGCTTTGCAAGGATCTTTCTCAAGCCAGTTATTGTTGCCTTGTGGTGACTAAATGTGAACTAAGTGGCCATTTAATTTTATTCATGCTACATTGCTTCTCATTAGGTAAAGAAAAGGGTTTGGAGAGTAGGAGATTGATGGTCAACCACAGCCACCACTGATTTAGCCTCCTAATGTCCTTTCTTTGGAGGAACCACAACAACTACAGGGCATGTCCCTTCTTATTAGGAAATTGAATAACAGCCTATGAAAGCTGGTCTTATTTCCTTTAATTTTAAAATTTAATGGTCTTTGGGTCAAGTGATTGAGGAATAAGCATCCACTTTTTTTTTTTTTTAATCTGCAGGGAAGCAAAGGTACTGCTGCTATGATTTTGCATTTATATAGCACTTGAGTAGTGACTAAGTGCTTTTACAATCAATTTTATTGTTCCATTTAAAAGATAGCCTAAAATCATCCCTGTCAAAATTTGTTTGGCATGATTCAGAGTAAAGAATCTTTTCTTAAAAAGGGCCTTCTATGGAAGAACTCTGATCAATCAAAAGAATAGGTATAGGGCAATGTTAAAATCATTGAAGAGAGAGAAAGCTGTTAATACAATATAGTAGCCACATAATGTTTTTTTGTTACCTGCCTTTACAATGAAAGAAAATAAAAACTTTTATCAGTAGGAATATAACTCAAGGAAGCCAACCCCTCATGACATGATTTGTATGTAGCTGATAATAGGAATATAATTTTTTATGTGTGAATGTTTTATGTATGACAGTAAGTGCCTTTTAATATACTATCATTAAAGCATTAGGTTTCATTTAGAGCAAGGATTGGCAAACTTTTTTTCCCCTATAGAACACAGGACACATGTGCTTGCCAGAGAGACAGAGAAAGACAGAGAAATAGAAACCAAGAAATAACCCCCCACCCCCACCGCTGTGGGGATAGCCATGCCACAATCTCTTCTCCATTCTCTCAGGATTTTGGGCACACACACACACACACTGGGACTTGAACCGCGGTCGACCATGTGGGAGACCAACAACATAACCATTATGACATCTGCTGGTCCCCTTGGCAAGCTTTTTTCAGTAAAGTGCCAGAGAATAAATATTTCAGGCTTTGTAGGCCGTATTGTTCCCATTTGAAGTTGTTGTACAAAAGCTCTGATACATAAATGAATGGGCCTGGCCATTTCAATAAAATGTGGTTTATAAAAGCAGACCGTTCAGATTTGATCTGTGGCCTATACTTTGCCAACCTCTGCTTTACAGCCACAAGATTCCTTGTTGTACAGGCAATGTTTTAGATTGGAATGATTTGATAGTCAGCTGAGAGCTCCATGAAGTCAGAAATGGACTTCTCTGGTAGACTGTTATATCACCATAGTACCTGACAGGTAGGAGATCATGAAACCTATCTGTTGGACAAAGGATAAGCAGTAAGACCATCTGGTGGAAATTCTTAAAGTAGCCTAAACAGAATCTATGTATATTCAGATTTTCAGGTTCAATGACATCTACTCCAGGTATTACCATTTTGGCTAGAACAAATACTGCAGTTGAATACTTAGTTCAGATAACAAATGCAGGAAGATTGCCCAAAGGATGAAAAAGAACCAATGCTGTAAAATGATAATGAGAAAC